ATGACCACATGATCACTAAAGTACCTTCAACATAATGCTTTTCTCTGCCAGATGGATCTGGCATGTCCTGTCTACAAACAATATTAACGGGGTTATGAAGAACTGAGTTACATACTTCTGTGTGCCCTCTTGAACCTGTACAGTAACCTAAAAATAATCTAAAAGTAAGATCATGGGTTAAATTCTTCTCTTCTGACAACCACCTTTGGAAGCAGTGCAGTCCAGAGACAACCCATGGGAAGAACTTACTATATTTAAGCAGAACTGACAGAAAACATATAAGCATCTCTATGTGCCAAAGCATGACTTGGATCTAGTCTTCAGGACAAGGGATGGAGGTCAGCTGCACAGAGAGAGACAGGAATGTTAGTACACTCTGCTCAGTTCACCTGAAACTGGTGCTGATCAAAGGCCCACTTTTAATGATGGTTCTTCTAAATAGAAAAATAGTGATTTGTGCTTTCATGGGAACTGAACGATTTGCAACACAACGAAGACAGACAATGGCCTTTCCTGTCTGTTTTCCATTAGGCTTGGATAAAGGCCTTTGCTACCCATCGCCAGCGGCCAAGCAATTCTGTATGTGCTCTATAGCTATTTTGAGGCTATTTGCTATCCTGTAGGAGTAGAGAAAGGGAAAGGTTTTAAAAGTTACAACTTCTTATCAAGTCTGCCTTTCCAGTCAACCTATTTTTTCTGCGGTCCTGACTGCAGGAACAAATGGCCCAGGCAGAGATCACACAGTGAATGAAGGCAGTGAACGACTTCGGGTAAATACAAAGATTAGATGTTGAACAAAAATGAGACTCCTCAGACCAGCCCTTTGCACTGAAGTGGTTAAGTGGGCTGTGATTAAAAGAAATAAGTAATTATCCTAATTATAGATGAAAAGATACAGAATTACCACTTAAAAGTGCCTCCTGTGCTCTGGAGTGGTTCTGTTATTTACAGAGTGGTAGTTCAAAATTTTGTAGCGTAAGCAAGAGGGCACCCTCTCGGTGTGGTGCAGCAGCCCTGTCTCTCTGAGGCGGACGGTGGTACTGTGCTGAAGAGTGCTCTGTCCCCCAAGCAGAGCTCCACAGTTGGTCTTGCTTCAGTGAGTAGGATGGTGCTAAGCCAGGAGAAATTGTGGGAACCTTTCTATCCCAAGCTATGTTCAGGGCACACTAGAGTTCACAGAGCTCTCCCTGCTTGGCCATGACCACTGCTGGTAATAGCTTTTATGATCACCAGGTTTTAAATAAGAAATAAAACAAAGGAGCAAACTCTGAAGCACTGGAGAACAGCCTTGGGTGGTGACATCCTGTCACAATTGAGGCATGGCAATTCTGCGGACTAGTAACTTATTACAAAACATTTCTTTACTAGCCTCTTCCTACTCTGGGGCAAAGTGCCCGTATGCCTGTAGGACTGAAAAGTTCAGGATTCACTGGGTCATGGGGTCCTCTGTGTCTCCGCTGCAGCGCAGTGCTGCGAGATGTGTTACACTCTTGCTCTTCCTGCCGCATCTGTTACTGTGCAGAGGAATTTGGATTCCAGTTCTGTCCATCAATTCAGCGCCACTCATAAGCCCTAAATGCCCCACAGGCTGTTTGTCAGAATGTTCCTATTAACAACTCAGTGAAAATAAAGGGTCAGGGGAAGGGAAGGTGGAGAAATAAATCTTATTTTAAATCTTTGGAGCTGGTTTTATTTCAAATGGAAAGTTGCATGCAGACCACCCCAAGTTATTGTGCTGTGGACTGCGTCAGCTGCTTGACTGTGCAAGGAAGATTTGCGTAGAGGTTAAGAGCATCACACAGGGGAAGGGTGCACTGGATTGCTTTTGTGCTGTATCCAGGAAGTTTCTGACTCAGTATGGAGTTGAAATACATTGACACACGTGGTAATCATTATAAGAAGAGAAAGGAACATTGAAATATGGCAATTTGCTGCTCCCATTCTGGGGATTACGTTGGTTTCTGACTGTTTGGTAGAGGTAGTGACATGTTGTAGGGTGTTATAGGGAAAATGAAGGGCAGATGCTGTCCTGGAGTGCTCCGAGAGCTGCATGTTGAGCTTGCTACAGTACCTGTTGTCCAGTCACCTTGAATCTGCCTACCTAGTGTATGGCTTTGGAAGGATGGGTGGCTTTGAAATATGGCAGTAACGTTGTACTTGTTTTAAAAGAACTCTTCAAGCAAAGAGCTGCAGAATCATATACCAAGCAGTGCAATGCAGGGAGGAAAGGGAAATGCTGCCATGTCTTTTGCTGCAGTTAAACTGCAGATGGAGGTGGGTAACAGCCTCCTGGTCCAGCTTTTGTTTAACTAGCACAGGCATTGCTAGCAGAGGAAGTTTGTCAGCAGTACTAGAATGTAGACAGCACATGTCCATGGAGCCCCTTCCTTCCCTGCTTAAGGTCCTGCTGCTCTGCCTTCACTGCTTTGTATTCCAGTGTATTCAAGTACCAGCCAGTTCATACAGGACTACAAGAGCTGTAAATGTATCCCCAGTTTGAGTGGAGCAATAGCAAATAAGGGAAGGATGAGGGAAAGACTGTAATGGGGTAGGAACATGGAAAATAGGGGATGCAAATGGAAAAACCCTGTTTCAGGAAGATCTAAGGCAGAACTTTGGTGTCGCAGCAGCTTTGTGGATCCTGTATGCCTTTTTTCTTAGAGCATTGCTGGCAGGCTGGCCTGTCTCCCAGGGCAGTGCCAGTCTCCATCTCAGAGTTGTCTCAGGCTCACTCCTGCCCAGCCCCACAGAGCCCTACCAATCCCTAGTTACCAAAGAACAACAGGGAATCTGATATGGGCAATGTGTTAGAGAAGGAAAGAGTCTTGAGGAGTTGAGTAATGCACATTTTTTCCATCCAACGTAACTGTTAATGGTAACCTTTTATTATTGAAGTAGTCAAAGTGACTAGAATCTGGTTTGTTTATTGGGAGTATGTGCATGGCTGTATAGTCTAATGTGATTGAAAAAGGAAACTGATAATAAGGGAAAAATACACCTATGGAAGCAAGTCAGGTGTTGTCTCTGTGTAATTGTAATTCCAAGTAGCACTGTGGAGATTAACAGCCTGGCAGCCTTTTCATCTTAAACTTTATTTTTATAGGGGTTTATAACTTGGCACTAAAGTCAGGAGTGGGTGGAAACTTGGCAAATGTGGTTCAGCCCAGAAAGCGAATGTTATTTATATTTATTTCTCAACAAGTTTTCAAAAACACTTGGTTACTGTTTTTGTGTTCTAACAAGTAGTAATTTGTTGGTTTCAGTGGCTTATTCTCTGTGTGTTTATTAAACTACAAAATAGTTTGGACTTTATTTCAGTTCTTCTGAAACTCCAAGTAGAAGGACTCTAGATTTCCAGGGGTGTAAATGAAGACTTCATGTCTGTTCCTAAAGCCAGAGGTATAGAGCTTTCTGTACCTGATTTTCAGGCCTACTGACATCGTGAGAAGAGGCATTTGAATAAGGATTTTCAACAAACTTAAATACTGTGTTATGTCTCTGTCAGGCTGTGAGTAAACATAGCAAAATGGTCATTTGCTGACAATAGTGTTTGTGTATTGCAAATATTGCATTGCATTTCATAGTGGAAGTATACTGCACAAATAAGCACTTAGAAAATCAGTTGGGTTGAAACATTAGCTTTTGTGGAAAAATGCCATTAATTTTCATAGAAATACTTAATTTTATTTTAAAAGGTTTTTAAAATAAATTATTTTCTAGAAGGTTAAAGATGTGGGTTTTTCCCTTAAAATAATGGGAAGAGTGAGTTTAAATTTCTTAGAAGAAAATCTTGGGTACTAATTCACCTAGTTGTAAAATACAGTGCTTGTGATGTTCTGGAATGACAGCTCTAAAGGTAGTAACTGTGTGTGTTTGTGTGTGTTCAGGGCATGACTCCCTCTCCAGTGAGAATTCAACCCTCTCAGCCTTAGATTAACTCTGGAAGGTGAAAAGAGCTGTCCTTCTATTAGAAGGAAGCAGAGAAAGTCATTAGTACACTGTCATCCTGAGTATTAACTATGTAAAGCTTCAAAGCTTTATTTAGATTAAGTTTTTAAAAAGAGTTCAAAGCTTTGTACAGTTGTTAATCATTACACAAGTTATAATAGTATTATGGCATTTATGAAATAAATCCGATCTTGTTACTTGCTGAGAGCAATAAAAGGGTGAGGTAGTAGTTTTCTAATTGTATGATAGGCATCCCTGAACACTTTTCTATCAGATCAATATATAAATGCCTACCCAATTGCATGTAGTAAGAGTCATGGAATCTACTTCTGATTACTTAAAATCATCTAAGTAATAGTTATATTTATTTACTTTTTAAACTTAATTTCCTATACTACCTTTAGCTTTGTAATATGCACATTTAGTTTTGCAGTTACACAAAAAGATACTGTAGTATTGCTGATGTAAGATATTGAAAAGGGACAATAAGTATCTATATAAAATTACAGCATATGCATTTGGTTTGTAGTGTTTAATTTTTGTAGAAGGGTGTCACTTAAAGATCATGCATCTTTGTTGTGCTAAACAAAGTGGGGTTTTTTAAGAGAGTGAGGCTGCTTTCTTTAGAGTGGACATTCATGCAGAGATGCTTTAAGGTTTCTGGACAGGCTCATAGAGGTAAGGCTTTGGATATAGGAACCATTGCTTTAAAATTTTCTCATGTATGTATTGCATGTATGGTTTTGTAGCATGCTGTCACACAAGCAGCTTGATTCTGCAGTAGTGCATCGGGGTGAATTGACTTTACCAGATAACTTTATCCACACACAGCACAAGGTTGAGTTTATGTTGGGAAAGATGGTTGCTAAATTTGTAACAAGAAGCTGTTCCATGAGCTTCACAGGAAATTATTGGGTTTCCACTGGGTTTGTGTGAGTGGATACTACATCAGGTTTCTTTCTTTCGCCTAGATGCCAGTGATTCTGAAACATTCACCCATTTTAAAAGTTACTCAGTTTGGTGACAGATTCAAAAGTTAGTGACAGTGTGAGTGGAAATGTACAAGCTTGTTTCTTTAGGAAATGCAGCTGGAGAGGATACCTGCTATCGATTTGACAAGGAGGCTTCCTGAGCAGTGGGTGACACCCAAGAAGTCCAAAATAATATTAATTATTGTTGTTGCTTTTACTTTGTGCTGCTTTTGCTTGTGTGTCTGTGAAGCTTTTATGCAAGTTCAGATTTGCAAACTAACAGTCACCTGCAGTAATCTTTATTCTAACAGTCCTCTTCTAAGTGCAGACTGAAATGACAGCAAACTAATTTTTCTCTTTTAAGAGTGGAAAGAGAAAACCTTTCAGACTATTGTGTTCTTGGTCAACGTCCCATGCACTTACCAAATATCAACCAGCTGGCAACCTTGGGAAAAACTAACGAACAGTCTCCTCATGGCCAAATTCACCACAGTACTCCAATCCGAAACCAAGTGCCAACGATGCAGACAATGATAAACCCTGGGCTCCTGTCTCCTCAGCTCAGTCCACAACTGGTGAGGCAGCAGATAGCAATGGCCCATCTGATAAACCAACAGATTGCTGTCAGCCGGCTATTGGCTCACCAGCACCCACAAGCTATCAACCAGCAGTTCTTGAATCATCCACCCATCCCTAGAGCTGTCAAACCAGAGCCATCAAATTCATCGGTGGAAGTCTCTCCAGATATTTACCAGCAAGTCAGAGATGAGCTGAAGAGAGCCAGTGTGTCTCAAGCTGTCTTTGCAAGAGTAGCATTCAACCGCACACAGGTATAAATTTCTGTTCTATAACCAAGAAGTGCTGAAGGGGCAAAGTTGTGGCTCTTGTGGGGCTGCATGGTTGTTGCAGATCAAGGCAAGAGGTGTGCCATAGAAGCAGGTCAAACCACCCCCCATTTTTTCCTCCAGTCTCTTTGTCAGGATTCAACAAGACTGTCAACAGTTGTTCCTTTGCGTTTGGTCACCCCTATGCCGTTACCTGAGCTTTATTCTCTAGCAGAAATTCTGCTCGTTAGAGTTCTTCCCCGAGTTCTTTCCACACCTGCCCCTGCCTGATGGCCAGAAAGAGGTAACAAGAGACTGTGAGAGTCAAAGGTGTCTTTGGGCTTCTGTAGTTTCCTCAGTTCCTTCCTGTGGTACAACTGGTGCCACAAATAGTGCCAGAGGCTACTGCCACAAGAAGTGTATAAAACAAGTGTGCATTGCCCTAAAGACTGACTGCTGAGAAAGTTGTCTGCCATACATGTTTGCTTTCATACATCTGACATAGGTTTTCTCACTCATGTAGTGAAATGCAGATGTTGAAATGGTCACATGATAGCGTCAGCTTAAGCCTAGCACCTGGAGTACCCAGGGTCAATGTGTGCTCAGAAAGACAAGCCATTTACATTTATCCTGCTGCCGGATACCATTCAAGGCATTCAAAGTATGATCTCTCAATTGTCATACTCTGTAACAAGGCTAAAGAAATGAAAAGTGTACCATATTTATGGAAATATGTACCATATTGAATATTGGTACAAATTTCTTTTGTGCAATCAGAGTTTGTCTTTGAGGTAAGCTTTACCAGCAAGAGAAAACAAGGGCCATGTGTGTGTGTCTCCTGGAGGTCTGTCCCTTGCCCCATACAGTGCCTTTGTCTGCTCTGCTGGATTTATTATTTTCTTTGGCACTGCCATTTTGGAAATGCCATGTTATGAGGGAACTAATTAAAGTATGGAGCACATTTTTATTACTTCCTGTCTTCCATTAAATTCACAAGATGTCTGCACTCAGAAAAAAAACATTCACTTCCAATCAACATGACTTTGAGTTCTGGGGTTAGCCTTGAGGATATCAAATGAAAACTACATAGGAATGTATGAGTATTTCCTCTTTAAAATGCTGCTTTTAATTTGGAAAAGCTTTTCATCCCTCTGGGATCATAACCTGTTGTGTATAAAGCCTGGTATAATCAAGGTAGATGGTACTGACAGAATGACATGTTCTGAAGTTGAGCGAGAGGTCAGCAGTAATGTTGTTGGTAAGGGTTTTGCCACTGTCACTGGACATGAAGCTCTGCGTTAGCCAGACTGGGAGGGCTGGGTTGGTAGTGCCTGAGCTTGCCGTTAAACCAAAAGCTCATCCCCCAGTGAGAAAGCTGTCATACAACTTGTGTGTTAAATAGACAGTCCTGCTATAGTATTTAAAAAGAGGCAAGATTTTGATTCTGTGTGTCTAGGAGACCCCAAGCCTTATATATCACTGACCAGACATTGCAGATTGACTTTCTAGGACAGCAGGGGAAAGGCAAGTCTGTGAGGGAGATCGCTCTGGCCTTTTCCTAGCAGTGGCACAGTGTTGCATCTGCCTGTGGTGTTTGTTAGCAGCCGCAGTAGAGACTGGGCCACACTTTTGACAGATAATCTGAAATCTGGACTAAATCAGCTGCAGTGTGGTTTGGGGGCGTGGGAGTGGGGCTTTTGTGTGGAATTCTTTTTCCTTTTTCCTTTTTCCTTTTTCCTTTTTTCTTTTTTCTTTTTCTTTTTCTTTTTCTTTTTCTTTTTCTTTTTCTTTTTCTTTTTCTTTTTCTTTTTCTTTTTCTTTTTCTTTTTCTTTTTCTTTTTCTTTTTCTTTTTCTTTTTCTTTTTCTTTTTCTTTTTCTTTTTCTTTTTCTTTTCTCTTCTCTTCTCTTCTCTTCTCTTCTCTTCTCTTCTCTTCTCTTCTCTTCTCTTCTCTTCTCTTCTCTTCTCTTCTCTTCTCTTCTCACCTCCTGCAGTGTTCTGGCATAGATCTAGTGGTTTTAGGACACTAAACAGGTCTTTGGGTAAAATGTGGTTTCTTCCCAACTTCAGTGGCTTCTGGCATTGTGACCTGACAGCATTTTCAAATGTCCTGTATGACTTAGGAGACCAGGTGTGTAACCATTCAGACTGGGCTTACTCGTTGGGAGCACAAACCTGAGCAGACATGCCAAGGTAATGTCCTTTGAGAAGATGCCAAGCACCTTTCCTGGGCAGGACTGTACCTGAAAATGGGATGTGATGCTCTGTCCTCCAACCAGTTTACATTTGAGTTATGGAGTCTGTAATTCAGGGTACTACTATCACTGATTTTGTCAGTCCTGCTGTCCTCTTGCTGACATTTATCTTAGGATGCACTAGCTTCTCTATCATGTGTATCCATCACATGATTTTATATAAAAGGAAAGAAATTACCTATTTCTTAGCCCTCCATCATAGGTAATACAATGTACTATATAGTCCATGACTCTGATTCCAGAACAGGCAAGTCTTAAACACCCATAAAAGATTTGCTCCATCTCACAGCTGTGTTTCATTAGTCTACAGGGCCTTGATATAGAGAACCAGTGGATCTTACATATAGTGCATCATGTCCCTAGGAGCTATCACCATAGCAAAAGAGTGTAGGTACATATTTATGCTTCCCTGTCCTCAGCTTTTAATTGCAACTTGAATCAATCTCCCCCTGCATCAGAGACTGTTTGAAGGCAGGCAGCCTTGCACTGCACAGTAGATGATGTGGGATGTTCCCACACACCCATGGTGGAAAAGCAACTCTGTAAAAGGCACATAAAGTAGAAGTTCAAGTCTGCTCTCACCACCTTGCATCCCCCCTGATTCCTCCAAGGATCCTCTTCTCTAGAGGTGCAGAGGCATGTGTGTTCCTCTCTGGAAGTGTTTGGGTTTGTTGCTTTTCACAGAAAGTGCCAGCCTTAGAAACTGGAGGTCTGTTGTTTCTCATAATGGTACCAAATAATAGATGCTGTATGCCAGCCAGCTAATAATTGTATTAATCACTCCATTATGGGCCACTGCTTAATCTTTCTTCGTGGTAGCTTTGTGCTGCACATTAGCCTATAATTAAGTATAGCTTCATGAAATATGTACTGTGAGGCTTGTTTAATAGATAAACTATTCTCTAATTTATTTTAAAGTCCAATGACCTACATACTCAATGCTGAAAACCTCCTTCTTACTAACATTATTTCTCCCCTGAGACCTTCCATCTGAGCAAATCTGTTAAATGAAGTAGAGAAGCTTTGGTCCAAACTAGGCTAAATCTATGGGAACAAATGGCTGACACATGTATGTGTGCATGCATGTGTGTGTGGGAAGGGGGACGTGAGGAAGGTCAGAAGAAGGAGAGGTGCAATTGTATGGTTTGTGAAATATCCAAATCTTCCTCTTAGAATTGGAAATACATATCTTAAGACAAGAACATTTGCTTATACCTGTGGCCATGTTGTCTGCACACATGAAAACAAAGCACGTCATCCTCTGTGACAAATCCCATGCATTTCCTGGGATGCAGGGCTCCCACTGAAGTCCCACTCTGAGATGGGACCAAACACCAGGGAGCTTCGTACCCACTGTGTGTACAGGGCAGCTCCACAGGGTGTTTGGCTAGGAGCTGGCTGTATTAGCCATGAAGAGAATTTCTTTCAAACAGAAAATTCCAAAGTAAATGTTATAAGATTTATTTGAAACTGGGTATGAAAAACCTTCAAAGTCTGGATGACTGATTTTTAGTATATGCCTTGGACTAATCTCTGTGCCTTGTTTTTATTTTGTCTTTAGAGAGTCACAATTTTAATTCACCATGCTGTGGAATCTAAATGCTTATTTATTCAGCAAACAGGACAGGTATAAGAGAGTTCTTAGACCCACAGAGACAATATAGTTATTGAAGGTGGTTTTAATGACACCATTTCCAATGAGTAGGAAATTCCTACACAACCTTTAAAGCATTTAACGTGGTTGTACACACTACCATGTTTGTCTAAGTCGATCTTGCCTACAACCTGTTCCTTAATTATAAGAATGGTGTATGTTAGAAAGACACCCGCTTAGGTTTTAATTAGCCTTCCTCTCTCCTGTGGATGCCAGCAGTGCTGCAGGTTTTAACTCCAGGTACCATCCTCTCTTGTGAACTGCAGTGACTCGCTATTCCAACTTCTCCAGAAGGTTATGTATGCCAAGGAGTGGAGCCAGGGCTGTTCAGCACTACTCCAGGAGCCTCATTGAATGGATATGATGCAGGCAGAGAGGACGACTGTGTCTGTTCCTGGCTTTACTCTTAGCTGGCCACCGTTTCACTCCCTCCAAGGCAACCAGAGGACCGACTGGCTCATACAGGAAAGAACAGATCAAGGGAGTGGAGAAAGCGTGCTGTGACTAAGGTGGTTAGTGGTATTGCTAGGACAAGAGGTTCAGTTTCTTGCTCATGTAATTGCATAGTTTGTGCCCAAGTTCTTCATGGCCAAGATCCTTGGCCTTGACTCCCTTTTGCAGCTCTGCTGGCCTGTGACCTATGAGTCGGAAATTTGCAGGCTCCTTGATTTGAATGTGTTGTTTACTGAATAATTTGTTTCCTTTGTTGGGACTGCTGCTATGAACTAATAACTTGCTAGTGGAAAGCTAGGCGTCCTTGTCTGGGTCTTAAAAACTGCCTGCAAGAGTCTGAGTGGGTTTGAACGGAAAACAGAGAGCTGTAGATGAGGTCCATCAAACACTTGAGAGTTACATGGTCATACTTGATATCTTTAAAATTGAGAGCATCTTCATAAAGCATGTTTACATGTAGCCAACCTGTAAGCTAAAGTTGCTATTAAAACAGCCATTAGTGGAAGCTTTGCTTTCTATAAGACTTTGCTACTTCTTGATTGTATAAAACCATTCAATCTTGAGAGAAAAACAAGGAAAAGTCTACAGAGGGAGAGAAGGGTTTAGTGTGCAGGGGTAGCAGCTGTCCATTGTTGGTCTCAAACA